ATTGGAAAATGCTTCTGATATAATATTAAGTGAAAAAATTGTTATATAGACTGTATGGTCTATCGTATGGTATCAATCTTGCTTTTTGTTTTTTAAGTATTTAAAGCATATTTTAAAAAAACACCCCAGAACATAGAAATATAAATGTTATTCTTGACTGGTGGGATTGAAAGTTACTTTTTTATACTCTAAATTTAAAAAAATAAATCCAATTTTTTATAATCTTAAAATAAAAATATACTGTACAAAATATGCATTATACCTAATAATAGATAACCGTTTTTCCTTCATAGTATCGAAAATATCTGTAATAGCACAACATATTTCAAACAAGTTCATAGGAAGTAGCTGGTCTTAAAAGTTTTTGTTTGATTTTTCTGTATTTCATATTTAATAAAATCAGCATTAATAAAGTAATTTTTAATTGAGCTTGATAGGCTGTATTATTTTACTTTATAAAGCTCTATTGTAGTTAAAATGAAGTTTATAATTAAGAAACAGATTATACTAAAAATATTACATAAGTTATTTTGTTGTTGGAGATAGTACAACCTTTCATTACTATATATTACCGTTTTCGACCAGTGTGCTGCAAGAATTTTTAAAACATGCAATAACTGACTAGTCAGAAATAATGACCTCTTTTCCTTAGATTGTAACCCTCCCCCCAAAAAAAGAAAAACAAAACCCACCAGCCAATACAACAATAGTTGTCCAGTGTGAATAAATCAAAATGACACTCTTTTGCCCTAGCCAGTTTTGCTCAGTGGATAGAGTGTTGGCCCTGCAGACTGAAGGGTCCCAGGTTTGATTACGGTCAAGGACATATGCCTGGGTTGCAGCTCGATTCCCAGTAAGAGGCATGCAGGAGGCAGCTGATCAATGATTCTCTCTCATTATTGATGTTTCTATCTTCCCTCCTCTCTGAAATCAATAAAAGTATATATATTTAAAAATCTATGTTAAGATTTTCATCTTTACATTCTTTTGTTCTTGTTTATTCATTCCCATCTTTACTTTATTAATTTATTTACTTTTTTTCTTGCTTTCTTCCCCATTCATTGACTTTTTGACTGAGTTATTTAACCTCTTTTGACTTTTTAATTTTGTAATATACAGTAGTATGATAATGTTATTCTACATTCAACAAACATCTATTCAATAACTACTCTTTCAAGATACTGTACTGAATGTTGGGGCTAATCCTACCTAATAAAAGAGTAATTATGCAAATTAACCATCACTCCACTACACCCACAAGCTATGTCCACAAGCCATGCCCACCAGCCAATCAGAGCGAGTATGCAAATAAACCCAACCAAGAAGGGAGGCTTGGGTTTGCCCGGCAACAGAGGTAGCCAAGATTTCCACACACCCTGGCAGGCCCAGCCCTCCACTCAAGGATACAAAGTTTCAATTATAGAAGGTAAACAAACCCTAACAGAAATGGTGGCAGCCATGGAAGCAAGCAGGAAGCTTGGCTCTGCTCCAGGCTACAAAGTTTCAATTGTAGAAGGTAAATAAATCCCAGATACCAGGGCCTCCGTTTGGATTGCCAGGGGGCGTGGCTGGCCTGCAAACCACCACAGGCCCCTTACCCAGGCCACCTCATGCCCCAAGGGAACCCCACCCTAATCCAGGACACCCTTCAGGGCAAATCAGCTGGCCCCCACCCATGCACCAGGCCTCCTATCTATCTAATCCTATCTAATAAAAGAGTAATAGACAGATTGACCATCACTCCAACACACAAGATGGCTGCCCCCATGTAGACACAAAATGGCCACCACAAGATGGCCAGCAGGGGAGGGCAGTTGGGAGGGACCAGGCCTACAAAGGAGGGCAGTTGGAGGTGATCAACCCTGCAGGGGAGGGCAGGTAGGGGTGAACAGGCTGGAAGAGGAGGGAAGTTAGGCAAACAGGCTGACAGGGGAGCAGTTAGACATCAATCAGGGTGGCATGGGAGTGGTTAGGGTGATCAGGCAGGCTGGCAGAAGCAGTTAGGGGAAATCAGGAAGGCAGGCAGATGAGCAGTCCTGGATTGTGGGAGGGATGTCCAACTGCCCTTTTGGGCCCGATCCCACCAAGGGGTCCCAGATTGGAGAGGGAACAAGCTGGGCTGAGGGACAACCTCCCAGCCCCCATGCACGAATTTTGTGCACCAGGCCTCTGGTATTCATATAAGGTAATTGCCTGATCTAGAAAATAAGTGTAAATAAATACTTGTAATGTGATGAATAAGAAAGGGACTGTCATTTATATTCTACATTATTCATTCACTAAGTCATTCATTAAACATTTTTTTAGGAGTCTACTTTGTTCCAGAAGAGTAGCACACTGCTCCTTTTCTTACAGGCTTATGGAAAACAGCTTTATAAATAGATAACCATTTATACTAATAAAATGGTAATATGCTAATTAGACCAGATAGACCAGACATCTTTCGGATGACCTTCCAAACATCCTGACTATCTCCCAGGGCCAGGGCTGTGCTGCCTGAGGTCTCAGGTGCCTGCAGCCATCCTGAGTGGCATTGCCCAGAGGAGGGAAGCCTGGGTCTTGTGTGCAGAGGCTGAGGCAGAGACAGTTGGGGGCAATTAGGCAGGCAGGCAAGTAGTTAGGAACCAGCGGTCTGGATTGTGAGGATGCAGGCTGGGCTGAGGGACCCCCATCCTATACATAAATTTTGTGCACCGAGCCTCTCTATATATAAAAGCTTAAGCAATCATCCAACCAGACACACAATGACCACTAGGGGACAGATGCTCAACGCAGGAGTTGTAGAGCTGCAGTGACTTGGCAGCTGTGTTCTCAGATGATGCACCCAGAACCAGAGAGGAGGGAGCCCGATTTTGGGGTGCATCACCTGAGAACTGCTCTCTTGGAATCCACAACACCTCAGGAGATGTCAGCCAGTTTCAGCTCCATCTCCGCAGGCCAGGCCTAGGGATCCATGCACCTGGCCTCTAATAGTATGATAAAAGAACATGAGGAAAAGGTCTTAGAAAGTGATTAATTTTGCTTTGTGAATTAAGAAAGACTTCTGGAGGAGGCAGTAGTTGATCTTAGTCTTAAAGCTTTTACCCAAATGAGCCAAAGATTAGAGATAGGCGTGGCAAACAGAAGGACTTACTCGTGCAGAGAACACGGGAAGACTGCTACTTGGTAACAGCTTTGGGGTGGCTTCAAGCACTTGAGTGATGAAATGTTTGTGAGATGAAGCTGTCAAAGTAGCCTTGCCATGCTATAGAGTTGATGCTTATAGAAACAATGGTTTATTGCAGCACCATCCAAAAAATTTTTATGATCATGGAAATCTCTGTGCTGGTAACTTCAGTAGCAACTTAGGCACATGTGTGGCTGTTAAGCTGCTGAAATGTGACTAATGTGTCTTAGAAACTGGATTCTGAGTTGTTTTACTTAATTTTAATTATTTTAATAGTCACACCTGTGTTTTATTTTTTTTACTTTGTGTATTTTATGATGCTTTGACATCTTGAGCCCTTTTTGGCCTTGGAGAACCTGCCCCTCCCAGGACCAGCTAATTCCCAAAGATAATAAACAACTTCCCTGTGGAGCTCACCTTTCATATGCAAATAAACCAGTCCAAAGCTTATACCCTACCACCTGTATCTAAATCACCCACCAGGATTCCCTTACCTCAAATCACCCTGGGTCAGGTATGAAACAACTAGACCATCTCAATAGCTGAGTCCACTGAAATTATTCACCCCTAAACTGTTTACTCTGCCCCACTTTGCTGTTTTCTGGAAGCCACAAAAAAGGCTTGTGCCCAAGCTTCCCTGCCATCTTCCACCTGATCAACTCTGGTACTTTCCCCTGTGTCCTGTGTGGCATGGTATGTCCCCTCCTATTGGTAACTGTAAGTAATAAGCTTTTCTTTCAAGGCAGTTGTCTCTCTGTCATCTTATATCTAATAAAACAAAATCTCCGGTACAAATCAAAACAGTCTGGCTAGTGGCTATTATATTGTACAGCACAGATATATAGCTAGGCCTCTCCCTCCCAAGAAGCGGTTCTTATTCATTTCTAGAAGTTTAATTAATGAAAGGATCTATATAGAATGTTTCCACTTTGGTTATGAAAATACAATAGCCAGCATGACAGCTAAGATCCTTATCCTCACAAAGCTTCATTCCGGTGACTAAAAGATTACACCCTCTGCCATTTCTTCCATTTTTTCCTAATATTTTTACATAGTGCTTAGAAAAGGACCCGATAGGCCCTGGAGGTAGGATGTCAAATGATAACTCTTTAAGGACAGAAAGGATTCCCTGGACACTAACCAATATTTGACAAGAACATGCTAAAATGTTTATCTTATTTCCAGTGTGTTTATGTCACTTTTATTTGCTGTGCCCCAGAATGGTGCTGAGAACTAAAGAAGGCACTTGAAGAACACTTATGGAATAAGATGTATCTAACAATGAGAATATTTCATATACAAAAATTTTAATTAGTTTTTTAAAATAGCTTTTACACAACGTCTAGTGTTTCTTTAGGAATCACTATGCCTTACCAAAAAATGTAAAGCATTGAAACTAAAAAGTTAAAACATGTTCTCTCTGAAACTATGTATGAATGGTAAAGTACAGATATTCTGTTGTATGCTTTTAAACATTGTAGAAATATTTTCTAAACCTCTAAAATATATCACATTGAATTTGGTTTATAATTATGGGTCATATTTCTTGAAAAGTAAATAATGATAAACATGAATATATTAGGATTATGACAGAATATTTGATGTGGGACCTCTCTCTGAAAATTTTGTTTTTCGTTTTGCAAGTCTCAAATGAGCCCACAAATGAAACAAGGCAGTCCTAGGTAAAGGCGGCTTGATTTACTGATTTCATGGTTTTTAAGATGAATATTTAAGAAAGTAAAGAGAAGTAAAGAATAATCTGCTTGAGGATGAAGACATGCTATTGGGAATTCTACTGCGAGAGCACTGCAGACTAACACATGTGCATGTTTAGTTTCAGAATGGCTTCGGTTATTGCCTTTCCTGGGTGTACTTGCACTACTTGGCTACCTTGCAGTTCGTCCATTCCTCCCAAAGAAAAAACAACAGAAGGATAGTTTGATTAATCTTAAAATACAAAAGGAAAATCCCAAAGTGGTGAATGAAATAAACATTGAAGATTTGTGTCTTACTAAAGCAGCTTACTGTAGATGTTGGCGTTCTAAGACGGTAAGATGTCCATTTATACATACATTAAAATTTTATGTGATTAAAATGTTTTCCTTCTGAAATCCTTAAGTTTGAGGTTCTGTGAGATGAGAGGTATTACCATAGTGTTTGTTACTGAAAGTCCGTATTCCTAAATTAAAGTTTGTGTTTTATGATCCATACTATCTACCTCAGGAAAGTTAGAGCAGCAGGGAAGAATAAAGATCTGATGTTTTCACTGTGTTTTCGCATTAGCTAAAGTAACATAGTTCAAAATACACCTATGAGAGAGGACATAGGTTTAGTGGAAGAATTTAAGCTTTGGAGTCTGAATAGTGGTTAAAGCTGATGTCTGCCACTTATAGTATGACTTTGGGCAAGTTACTTAATCTTTAATCTCTGATTTTTAATTCTGATAATATATCAACATCACATTCAGTGAGATGATGTATATACAGTGCTTTATATTATGAGCTAGTAAATGTCTTGATGAGATCTGTTCTACTTTAATCATAGATTATTTGAGGTTTTAAGTACAATAATGTTTATCACATCATCCTTTAATAGCAAAGTGTTAGAAACAATCTAGAATCTGATAATAGAGGAATGATTAAAGTATAGTGTAATAAAAATGATGGTGTGCCCAGCCAGTGTGGCTAAGTGGTTCAGTGTTGACCTATGAACCTAAAGGTCATGGGTTTGATTCCTAGTCAGGGCGCATACCCTGCTTTCGGGCTCGATGCTTAGAAGGTTATGTGCAATTGATGATGTTTCTCATTAATTTTTTTTCCTCTCTTTCCTTTCCTCTCTCTCTAAAATCAGTAAAAGCATATATATATTTTTTTAATATGATGGGGTATTAGGAATCCACTACAAATCATGTTTTAAAGAATATTTAATGACATGAAAGCATAATACAAGACAAGTATATTACAGTTTTTAAAAATGTTTTTATTGATTTTTTGAGAGAGGGGAATGGAGAAGGAGAGAGGAAAGGGAAAGAGAAATCAAAACCTGGGCATGTGCCCTAACCGAGAGTTGAACTTGTGACCTTTCTGTGCATGGGATGATGCTCAACCAACTGAGCCACGTGGCCAGCTTATTACAGTTGTTTTTTTTTTAAATAAAAATGAATACACATAATAAATGCAGAGGGAAAATTTGCTAAAATATTCATTGTTACCTATGAGTGAATTTTAAAAACTATTTTAAATTTCTCAAAAATTTTATAATATGCGTGAGTTTTATATAAAAATATTGTAAAAGTAGCCGAAACCGGTTTGGCTCAGCTTGGGGACTGAGGGGTCCCGGGTTCGATTCCGGTCAAGGGCATGTACCTTGGTTGCGGGCACATCTCCAGTAGGGGGTGTGCAAGAGACAGCTGATCGATGACTCTCTCTTGTCGATGTTTCTAACTCGCTATCTCTCTCCCTTCCTCTCTGTACAAAATCAATAAAATATATATTTTTAAAAAATATTGTAAAAGTATTTTGAATTTAAATTACATTCTTTTTAAATTTAAGAAAATGAATAGGTGAGTTCAAATTTAGACCACAGAGTAGAGCTTATTATTATCCCCTTCTAAACATGTTTTATTGCCTCATATAGAATTATCCAAACTTTTTACTTAAAATCTACACCAAATACTGAATTAACTATTTAAAATTGTTAGAATTGCTGTGATATGAGAATGGAGTCAGGTTAGGTATAAAATACATCTATTACTCAGGCAAGCTATCTGATGTGTTATTTCTTTTTCCAAAGTAATGTACATTTCACAAATATTTCTACTTCTTAAATCATTTAAAATAACACTTGTAATTCTTTTTCCTTTCTAGTTTCCTGCCTGTGATGGTTCACATAATAAACACAATGAATTAACAGGAGATAATGTGGGCCCACTAATACTGAAGAAGAAAGAAGTATAATAGTAATGAATTAGGATTGAATTGTGTGCTGTAAAATCTTATAATGATATCTTTTAATTTTTTGTGTATAGATCTTTCAAATGGTGGTCTTAATTACTACTAGTAGTGGAGTAATTATTTCTGCCAATTTATTTTCTTGCTACACTACTGTTTATATTTGATACTTCATATATTCAATCATAGAAATTAAATTGTGAACCCTTTTATTCTGACTTCAAAGAATTAATGTATTTTCCTCCAATAAAACCAACACTTTTGATTTTAACTAATTGAGGAAATATCTAAGTCTGGGCAATAGGTCCCAAACTATTTCTTTGAAAACCAATATTTTCAATAGAATATATAATTTATAATTTTTTCCCTACTCTATTAAACATATTATCTTTCAGTTTTCTTCTGTTTTGATCATTTGAAGGACTTGTTTCTTTTTCAGCTTTCCACGCGCAATTCTTTTTTAGATCAATAAGAAAAATATTGCTCTTAAGGATTACTTGTATTTTCAAAGAGATAAACTCTTTGCTTTAGAGAGATTGTTGTCTAGTAAATATAAATATCCCAATTTCAGGGAAGATGTGAACTGGATATAAAATGTTCCAACAAGGAGCACTTATTTACATTATAAAAGTTTGTTTACTTTATAGTGGGCTTGTTTGCCTCTGTTTAGGTATATTGTGTATCTTGAACTATTTGACTCACTGACAGGGTGGGGTGGGGTGGCAAGAACACTTATATCTAAACTCATGAGCTGCTGAAATTTGAAGGTCAATGAGAAATAAACATATTTTTTAAAAAGTTCAGTGGTCAAAATTGTATTTATATGAACATTTTCCTCTTTATAACAGTGTAAGCCAATAAAACAGAATACAAAAGCTTGCAAAATAAACTTACCGGAGTTTTAAAACTTTTGTAATTTTTAAGCGTAAGAGTCTGTTAGTTTCATCTTATACTGTATTTCAGTTGTTATATTATTAGCTATTCTAAGTCTGTCTATTAAAGGTAGAATCCAATCAGCACCCTATGCCTTCATTGTAAGTGGAGAAGGTGTGGGGACAGACATGTAACTCTTCTTCCAATCATAAAGTTATTGAGCACTTAATGTATCAGACACTGCACTGAGCAGGGTACCTGAGTTTTTAATTTATTACATGCAATGACAATAGATTCTGTTGTGTGATCTTGACTTTCACATGATAACAGCAGGAATTTTAAAGTTAGGGTTAGTAATGTAGTTTTGGTTTTGAGAAGTTTTAGAAGGTATAAATCCAAAATTGTTGTTGCTCTTTCCTCTCCTCACCTGTGAGGAGAGACAAATATAAAATTGTTCTCACTTTGGTTCTAGGTATTATTTCCTGAAACCTCTTCAACAACCCTAAAGGGATTTCTCTTTCAGGTTAACCAATTATTTTCACACAGTTGATCACAAGACTGGGAAGTACCCTCCTCACCAAAAGCTTAAATAGCCTGGTCTGTGGTCATGAAATGCTCCTCTTTAAATGTTTCTCAGTAACTCACAGCAAAGTTTTAGCACATGTCCTAGTGGTTCCCATACTTAGATTTCATAGAAGAGAAAGTTTCCTAAAAATGTGGAGACTAAAATTGAAATTATTAATTTTAAATTTTGTCAAGTAAGAATATTTACAAAACTGAAAACAAATGATCTCGTAAAAGGTAATTTTAACATTCTGAAAGTAAGAAGGTACACTCTCAATAAAGTTTCCTTCCACATTTTTAATTGTTTAAATATGTTGAACAATTTAAATATGTTGAAGAGTTATGCCCAAATATTTTTCCCACCTGTGCAAATTTTTCAGAAGCCTGGGGCTGGTAGCAAGCTGTTGTTTTAATAACATAATGCATTATGATCAGTTGCTGTCACTTCCTCTTGTAAATTCACAGAATTCCATCATGTCTTCCTTTAAAAATAGACATCTAATAAGCAACTGCATCTGAATTAATACAACACAAGGTAACTTAGCTCTTGAAATACTTATCTTGGGCTTCTAAAACCTCCAAGAACAGCTCTGTTTATTAAAGTAGTCTCATGTGATTATTTTGACTACTTCTTACCCAGGGAGCCACTCATTGCCTTACTCAGCAAATGATCACCACTATTACATAAGCAGGTGTTCAAAACTGTTGAGCAGGCTTCAGGTATTAATGATTCATTCATTCTTATGGATAATTAAGCAAGTTGTATTGTGAAAAGCACATTACAAATCAGCTTTGAATTTAATGCCTCATCTGATGATTCATTAAATTACTTTTGTATTTTGTTACCTAATTTGTTAATAAGTTTATGCAAAGCCAATTAAGCCAACTGCTGATCTATATAGTTATACTTTCCTTGTATGGTCTTCCTTTAGAAATGTGCTTTCGGACTCTTCTGCAAAGAGAGTTTTACTTTTTCAAAACTCTGTTGTTCAACAGGTTCTTAAATTATTAAATTATGGTGGATATTTTATTTACTAGTGACCATAAGCATCTAACTAGTTGCACTTCATTCATTTAGATTGCAGTTGTAGCAGCATCTCTAATCTGGAGAAGGTCAGGAGAGATGTACTAGTAATGCACATGTACTTTATTCAGAAATGAATGCCTCAGGTCCTCCACAGTCTCCTTTTTCTATGTCGCACCTGATTCTAACATGTTTGGTTATCTGATTTCTGCTGGACAAATCACAGGTATCTACGGGGTCCTGTGAGAGGTAGGGAAACAACAAAACGTGACAGCTGACTGCAGGGGAGGAGGAAACCAAAAAATAAATTTAATGTGAAAAGCTTAGCACCTCAAGACCATTTAATAGAGGATTCTGCACACCACAGTTCCATCAAAATATACAAGTCATGTTTGATGATGAATATGAATCAAGAAAACACTATATGATGTTTATGCTTATTTTAGAAAGGAAAGGAGAGGGAGGGAAACAGAGAGAGGGAAAGAGAAAGCATTGATCTAAGAAACACCAACTGTTGCCTCCTGCAACCACAACCTGAGTATGTGTCCTGACCAGGAATCGAACCGGTGACCTTTTGGTGCACAAGATAATATTTAACCAACAGAACCACATTGGCTTGGTCAATAATATATGGCATTAAGAAGGTAGGATATGTGTTGCATTTGATGATTCCAGTTTCCACTTAAAATAGTTAAAAGCTCAGTGCTTAAAGTGATACATCCTGGCCCTAGCTGGTTTGGCTCAGTGGACAGAGCAATGGCCTGCAGAATTGAAGGTTCCGGGTTCGATTCTGGCCAAGGGCACATGTGCGGGTTGCAGGATCAATACCCAGTGGGAGTGACGGGGTGTGTGTGTGCAGGAGGTAGCCAATCAATGATTCTCATCATTGATATCTCTATCCCTCTCCCTCCCTGAAATAAAAATATATTTAAAAAAAATAAAGTGGTATATCCTGGCTGAAAATTAGTGCAGGAAATAGCTTGACCCATTCCTGATATTTGGAAGCTCTTCATAGGAAGTTTTTCCATTCAACGGAAACATTTTTTATTTCATGACTAATTCATTACAAAATTTAATTTGTTAAAGTATGAGGAAAACTAAATAAAGGAATAGTGATTTAAACCACATGAATTGTGTTAGGTGACCACCTCCTCATCAGAGGATTGCAATCACATTTAAAAACCCCTCAGCTGCAGTTCACGGACTGCCTCATGGCCTTGCTGGCCCTTTGCACAGAGGCTGGAATGCAGAGGACTCCATGGCTGTTCTTGGGTTGGTTGGTTTATTGTTTTAGCTGTGCTGCATCATCAGAGGTTGGGCTTTAGTTTATCAGAAAAGTCATTTACTGGAAGCTCACTTTATTTTACCATGTTCACATGTCTACTTTTAACTTTTTGCTCCAGTTTCATAAAGTCATATAGCAAACATTATTTTAATATAAAAAGTAGGTAGTCCATATTAGGTGCTGTATTAGCAAGTGTATTAATCAATTTTATATTAGTTATGGCCCTGAAAGACATTGAAAATCTGTTAGAAGCATATTTATATCTTCCAATCAGAGGCCATCACTCTCCTTTGGTTTAAATGCTATATATATATATATATATATATATATATATATATATATATATATATTCGATTTTCCACAGAGAGAAAGGGAGAGAGATAGAGAGAAACATCGATGAGAGTGAAACATTGATCAGCTGCCTCCTACACACTCCCTACTAGGGATGTGTCTGCAACCAAGGCATATGCCCCCAACTGGAATCGAACCCGCATGCCGAAGCTGTATTTACAAAGCTGTATTTTGACTGAGCCAAATCAGTCAGGGCTAAATGCTGATTCTTTGCTTACAAAGTGTACTAGTATCTGTGACTCTATTCTCAGAGCTCTGTTGTCAAACAGATCAGCCACAATGTTAGCAAATTCCTGATCACATAAGGCTGTAATTTTTCAAGATAATGTAGAAAAGGGGAATAAATTGCATAATTACAGAGATGAACTCTGTACTAGTGAGAAAATAAAACTGTCAACAATTTACTAAATTTTAAAAATTCCTGTAACTTTTATTAATATCACCATGCATTCCTGTGCCATCATCACATTAAAGACAGGCACCTCTAACATCCAACAAATTTAAGAAACTCAAAACCTAGAAATACAGAGTTTTCAACTATATTGAATGCTGTCAAGAAGGCTTTTGCATATGAATGGCCTGGCCTTTTGCAATCTAAAACCTAACAAATTGTAGCTGGTTCAGAGAGCCCCAGAGCCTCCAAAAGAAGGCCCAAGGCTGGGCAGCAGCTTGCACTGCTTCACAGCTGGGCCTCATCTGGGCACCTTCAAACAACAAACAAAGAAAAGAAATCTGCAAATCTCTCTGTAGCTCCTGCTGGGTGGCCTCAGGCAGTGGCTGACTTTGCTCCTCCTTAGAGATCCAAGAGCCAGTGTACCCAGTGGTCAGAACGAGACCATCCAGATAACAACTCTTCACATCCATAAGAGATACATTCAGGGGGCAGACTTAGCACCAAAACCCCACTGA